TTGAGTAAATGCACAAAAACAGGCCAAAAATCATTTTAGCGTACAAATTTGTACGCTAGACGGTTTAAGGGATAATAATATATTTAATAAATATAATAATATAATAATAAATAATATATATATAAAGATAATAAAAAATAATATAAAAAATATAAAAACATGTAAAAAAAATATAGAAATAAATAAATAAGAAAAAAAAAAGGCATAAAAGATTATAGGAAAAAAAATAGAAAATATTCGGAATTGTATAATTATTATATAAAATTTTTAATTTTGTTCTTCTTTTTTTTTCTTCTTCTAGATGCTCAGCATCTTCTATTTGAGGATTTTAGGGTTTGATGTTTCGGTATCTTGTGGTGGTGGTGGTTGGTGTAAAGCTGTAATTACTTGCGGTATATGTGTTTGTGTTTCAGAGGTATGCAAATAGGTGCAGGAGGTATGTACAGAAACAGGGCTTAATGAGGTTCTGGCAGGTGTTTGTGAAGTTGAGGCAGTTGCGGCAGTTCTGGCCTTTTTAGCGGATCTTGTGTTATATTTAGATATTTTCTCTCTTGTATACTTTGTGCCTTGAGTTTGAGGTACAGATTCATCTTCTTCACCTTCTGTATCTGATATTGGTCCAGAGGTAAATGGAAGTCCTTAACTAATTTATCTTTATATTTGTAATTTTCGCATATTTTCAAAATATTTAGAGTTAATTATATATTTTTATTTTTATTTTTTTTTTTAACTCTTTGATGGTCTATAGGTTTAGGGCCTATAGTCTAGTGGTCTAGACGCCTAAACCCCCACGGCAGGTCAACGGTTCAATTACGGCTGGAGGTTTTTCTTCAGATTTTCCTCTTTAATCATTAAAGCCAGAAAATAGAATGCGAAGTCCCGTGGCGAAGTCCAAGTGAAGTACATGACTAGATTAAAGAATTTCCAGAAAGGAGACCCGAACCATAGAGCAGGTGGCATTAATCATTTTTGAGAGAAACAGCCATATGGTAAGGGCTGTGGATAAAGGATAGACCATAACTAGAAATGAAACATCTCTGACAAATATATCAAAAGACCAAATAGGAAATCTGTATAGAGTGGCGATGCCGACTGACCTAGGGGCGTAGTAAAAACTCAAAAAGGCATGAAGCACCGAGCTGGTAGTAGAAATACGTAAACAAAGAGAATGTGCAAAAAGTATGGGCTTACCAATTCTAGAAAACCAACCAATTCGACGAAAGCTGGAAGTATTCATACAAAACCTCAATTGGGAGTAATCATGGTTACACAACATAGCCCAATCTTGACCAACACACAGGAGCTCCGTAAAAGGAAAGAAGGTTGCATATAGCAAAAACCGAAAACGTCAAGTGATTACTAAACTAGGAAGTACATCGAGTAAAGATCGTATGAATATCTCAAAGGAATTATAAGCCGAGTTACCTGTCTGGGAGTTGATGGTTCCTATTTGAGAAAAGTGGAGAATATACAGATAAAATATAGAGGTTGAAAGGTATATATGATCTAAATCCTGAATTACAATGATACTAATGGGGGTATCAATAATAATTACAGTGTAGACATTAGGCATCGGGTAAAGTAGCTCTATAGTTCAAGTAAAGGTTATGATTTACATATAATAGATTACGTAGTTAATTGTATATATGTAAAAACATAATAAACTTAGGACAAAGATGTCCAGTCTTTAAACCATAAAAAAAAAAAACTCTTTGACGGTCTTGTCAAAGCTCAAATACAAAAACTTTATTTAATCAACAATAGTAAACCATTTCAACTAAGCTAAGCCTTAAAAATTGCAAGCTTGATATCTTCCAGCTGCAGAAACTGTACCCATGAGTGACTCATCGCACTATCTTGTATACAAGTTGGATAGACCTTGTCAGCCTGTCGAGAGCTAATCCCTTTAATTCTTCTTTCTTTACCGAGAGCAAAAGAAAGTAGTAATTTTATACTAATACTACAAAACTACCAATCATTAAAAAAAAGAAAACTATATCTAATAACAAAACAAATTAAATGAAAGAGGAATTTTAAAGGAAAAAAAAAGGGGAAAAGGATACGTAAAAAAAGAAAAACAAAGAGAAAAGCCAAGAAGGCTGACAAAGTGGGTGCTACCTCTATCAAGAAGCAGCCAAGCAACCCGAAAGTTGCCATGAACAGAAAAAATACACTGTTATAACTCATGCCAAGTTACAATAAAAATTTTATAACAACTACAACTGTTGTATATCTCAATTCTAAAAAACAAAAAACATAATATATATCTTCTGACTACTAGCCAAATCCAGATACCTCTTTAACCCAAGACCCTGATCCAAGTCATGTGGAGTAACGCTATATCTTCTAAGTAAACAAGACACGTCAGTTGTAATATACTGAGCCTGTCCAGATTTGGATATAAACAATGCCAATCTTTTGGAGGGGTAAGCCAAATTCCCACTTTTTTTCGAAATTTTTGGAAGAACAACAGGAAGTCAAAAATAAGTAATAGAGAAGCTACTTAAATCAGAAAAAGAGTGTAGCTTTAGAGCAGATATATAATTTGTTGTTCCCCAGTGTTTTTCTTTGAAGTAACGACCTAAAAGCTTCGTTGATGATGTCAGTTTGTTCCTGAACAACCTGCTACCAAGATTTTTTATACAAAAGCACCCCTGCTAGTTATCTTGTATAATAATGCTCTTGGCTTGTATGCCAAACGTCTCTTGTAGAGGAGTCCCCATAGTAGTAAGTTAATCTCTAGACAAACCACCGTTAGGTCACGACTCTCTAACAAATTTTTCTGTTTTTTCCGTTAGTAAGAATTTTGGTTCAAGTGATTGTCGAAAAGAGTTTATATATAATTATTGGTTCACTTTAATTATTGTTTTCAAGAGAATATATTTATGATTAATCATAATTGTTTAATTGTTCAATAAATTACTAGAGTGTATATGAAGTTTAGTTCTGTGAGTATAAAATTTAATTCTGTTTGCTTTAATGATTGTTTTTAAGAGAATATATTTATAATTAATCATAATCGTTTAATCATTCATTTAATAAATTACCAGAGTGCATATGAAGTTTAATTTTGTGAATATGAAAATTTAATTCTGTTTACTTTAATGATTGTTTTTAAGAGAATATATTTATGAGGATTTACTAATTTTCTCCAAGTTCCTATTGGTTGAATGCAATTTTCATTTTCTGTTAGATAAATTACTAATTGGTGGCTAAAAAATTAATGTAGTCATTGTTATATGTTGCAATTAATATTACTTTAGATATTAATAGTAATTATTTTCATAATAATTATATTATTATTAAAATATTTTTTTTCACCATTTAATACTATACTAACATTTCTTTCTTTTGAATTTAAAAACTCTTCACGATCAATTAAACCATTTTTGAAGATTTTTTTTTTTGCCTTTGTCGAATTTATGATAAAGACAATAAAATTGCACACCAATTTTTTTTTTTTTTTTTTTTTAATATTGAGGTGACCACTTAGGCCCCTGGCACTTTATTAGTTCAAACAGGTGGGC